TAGGTTAAGTTTAATTATTGTTCTAAGTTAGGTTATAATTATGTTTGGTACAGTTCATTTTTCTTTAGTTATTTTTTATGTGAAATTATGTATTATTTTGGGTGGTAGTTGATGTGGTTGACTGTGCAGGTGTGTACGACGGGTGTGTGATGCAGGTGTGTACGACAGGTGTGTGAGAGACATAAAGCGTCAGTTTTTGTGCGAGTGTTCAGGGTTAACGGTGTGACGGAAGGGGGGGGGGTAGAAGGGGAGGGAGGAAGGGTGTTACTGAAATGCACTTACTCATCATGGTCTCGTCCTCCTCCTCCCTCCTCTTTCTTAGCTCTCCCTCCTCCTCCTCCCTTCCTCTGCCTTCACACCACATTACCCTAAGAGCCAGCACCACCCATGACAACACTCCTCCTGTACTAAGGAGTTCTTACCTAACCTCACCTCACAATTTCACCACCTCATCTTAACATTACCTGAATAAGACTGGTCATTATGACGTCATCCAGTATTATAGTTTTAGTGCCATATTGACGCCATCTTGACCACACACACACACACACACACACACACACACACACACACACACACACACACACAGTACTCGACCTTTATAACGCTGGTTCTCCGCCCAATAACATGTGACCCTCGCGTGACGGGAGGCAGTAGTACCCTTGTGACGGACTGACCAGATATGTTACGTGAGGTGTGGGCGTAACACGTGACCGAGGTGTGTGTGTGTGTGTGTGTGTGTGTGTACATAGATGGTTCTGGTACATTCCATCATGACTACACACATGGGTTAATCGTTGTGTAAATATCATCACTTACTGACATCAACAATTGACTTACTGACATCAACAATTGACTTACTGACGTCAACAATAGACTGATTGACGTCATCAATAGACTTAATGACGTCAACAATAGACTTACTGACGTCAACAATAGACTTACTGACGTCAACAATAGACTTACTGACGTCAACACCTTCTTCTTCTTCTTTTTCTATGACAAGTGTGGTGCTGAACTTATCATCTTGTGTTAATCAATACTACCCCCACCCACCCCTACCCACCCCTACCCACCCCTACCCACCCCTACCCTGACCTCCCCCCCACCCCCCACCCCCCACCTTCCCTAGTTATTTTTGGGTGTGTTAACTGATGTGTGTTTGGGGAGAGAGAGAAAGGTGTATGTATGTATGTATGTATGTATGCATGTATACAGTATGTATGTATGTATATATGTATGTATGTGAGTGTATGTATGTATGTATGTATGTATGCATGTATGTATGTATGTATGATGTAAAAGAGTCACATACGATAGTCTCAGTAACGCCTCTGGCAGACAGGTGTTAGATATGCACCTGTAATTCCTGATTGATGTCCACTTTTTTCACACCTGTGTCGGTCGCTACACCTGCATCACCTCAAACTGCACTCATTAATACACACCTGTGGAGTGAAAAACCTGCTTGAGTGTCATTTAAGTTCACTCACCTGCCTACTCATCTATGTAACTCACCTGCCCTCTCACTTATGTAACTCACCTGTGTAACTCACTGTAACTCACCTGTCCACTCACCTATAACTCCAGCCCCTCTCTACCTGGCCCTCTCACAACCCCCCCATCAACATACAACAAACACAACATACAACAAACACAACATACAACCAACATACAACAAACACAACATACAACAAACACAACATACAACAAACACAACATACAACAAACACAACATACAACCAACATACAACAAACACAACATACAACAAACACAACATACAACAAACACAACATACAACAAACACAACATACAACAAACACAACATACAACAAACACAACATACAACAAACACAACATACAACAAACACAACATACAACAAACACAACATACAACAATCATACAATACGCAACACACACTCATAACACAGGTGGTTCATACATCGTGGTGTGTGTTGTCCAGGTGTGTGGTGTAAGCCTAACAGGATGTGGGTCACCGGTCGATTCTACTGACTTTCGGGAGATTTAGTGGGGGGGTGACCTGAAGATTTGACACCCTAACCTAGCCTAACCTAGCCTAACCTAACCTAACCTAACCTAACCTAACCTAACCTAACCTTACCTAACCTTACCTTACCTTACCTTACCTTACCTTACCTTACTTCCACTCTTACCTTACCTTACCTAACCTTACTCTAACCTAACCTTACTCTTAACCCATCTTTATTTGGTTTTTGTCTTACCTTTTACCTAACCTACCTAACCTTACCTAACCTTACCTTACCCACTCTTTACCTTTTATCTTACCTTTACCTAATCCCATTTAACCTAACCTTACCTAACCTAACCTAACCTAACCTTGCCTTGCCTTACCTAACCTAACCTAACCTAACCTAACCTAACTTAAATTGACGTGTTTCAAGTCATATCTCAACTATTTGTACGTATGTATGTATGTATGTATGTATGTATGTATGTATGTATGTATATATATTTCCATTTAACACAGTAGGGAGAGTTTTATTCAGGTGGGGGAGGAGGTGGTAGTGTTGGTGAGGGAGGGAGAGAAGGTGAAGGAGGGAGAAGGTGAGGGAGAGAAGATGAGGGAGGGGATAATATGAAACACTTCTCCCTCACGTATTATGAAACTCATGTGAGAAGTGAGTAAACAGGGTAATTAGTGCCGTAGGGTTAAGGTAATTAGAGGAAAATGGTTGTTAAGCTCCGGTGTGTAGACACTAATTGGGTTCGTCGTCTGTGGGCAGGTAAAACAGCCCCTTATATACTGTTTATGGGGGCTGTTATGACTTCACTTTAGGGCACGTAAGGGTCAGGCGTATTGTGGGGGCTACATACATACATACATACATACATACATACATACATACATACATACATACATACAGGTGGGGATGTGAGTGAGCGCCTTATATCCTAGTTCAGTCAACACCTTCATCATACACTCATCCATTCACCTGTTGCTAATTACTTCACCTGGATCCACATTGATAAATATATGTTATAATGTAATTCAAAATGCAGTCGTTTAATAACATAGTAAATTTAACCAAACTCGTAATGAAAGTTTGTACAAAAGTTTTACATTTTTACTCAAAGTTTTGATTTTTCGTATTTTCTACTTTTCTTATTTGTGTTTTGTTTATTATATGTTTAAATTTGTCCCTTTACTGTTGTTAAGTGAATGTATTTATGTAAGTTAGAGTCTTAGTGTAATTTTGACGCCATTTTGACCGGATTATCGCACTAGAGTTTCGTAAAAGAGATGAGTTTCCCACGTCCCAAATCACGAGGATAATTTTACTTTTAGAAATTTTAAGAACCGAGACTTGTAGTGTGTATATAATGTAATAATTTATCGTGAAAGTTTTGTGAATAAATAAATTAAAGTGATTCCGTGTTTACCTAATGCAGCTGTGTTAAGGTCAAGCCCTAATCAAACACCTGGTGGAGCCCTGACACAGGTGACAAGGGCCTCTCTGTTGGCCTCTCATACACCGTCCCTCTGAGAAACTTTCACTCTTTTAACTGATGGTGAAATAAATTGAGAACAAAAAAATCCGGGAAATGTGACCGTCGTTTAGGTCAAATTAAATAAGAACTTTAATCTGACGTACAATAACTGGCGTTTCGGGGGCGGCTAGGTGTGACTTACCTGTACTGCCTCCAATTAATACTTGAATTCTTGACAGGTGATTATCCTCCTCCCCCCTCCCTTCCCCCCTTCCCCTCAGTCCCTGCCCCCACCATTCTCTTGCTGACTGTGTGTGTGTGTGAGAGAGAGAGAGAGACATTGATTAGTGTGTGTGTGTGTGTGTGTGAGAGAGAGAGACATTGATTAGTGTGTGTGTGTGTGTGTGTGTGTGTGAGAGAGAGAGAGGGGGGTAGGTTATTAAGCCCACACGTGTCGATCTAAATCATCACCTGTACAAGTGTCACAAGTTAACTATGCAAATATCCCAAATATTAACATTGCTAAATTCCTCACCTCTGGCTCACTGGCCCTGGCACCTTTATTATGGCACTCTAGTGTGTGTGTGTGTGTGTGTGTGTGTGTGTGTGTGTAGTGAAAGTCTCTCAATAGGATGCCACTCTTTTGACAATTGAGTTTGCGCGATGTTTGAATAATTTTAATTTACAGGGCGTCTCTGGAATAGATAAGTTTGGGGACGGTGGTGAAGTGTTGGTAGCAGGTGTGGTGGTGTTGGTAGCAGTGTGTGGTGGTGTTGGTAGCTGGTGTGGTGGTGGCAGGTGGTGTGGTGGTGTTGGCAGGGTGGTGTGGCAGGTGTGGTAGCAGGTGGTGGTGTTAGTAGCAGTGCAGGTGTGGTGGTGTTGGTAGGCAGGTGTGTGGTGGTGTTGGTAGTAGGTGGTGGTGTTGTAGCAGGTGTGGTGGTGTTGGTAGCAGGTGTGGTGGTGTTGGTAGCAGGTGTGGTGGTGTTGGTAGCAGGTGTGGTAGAAGTGATGATTGTGTTTGTCTTAGTTAGGACTTGATTGGTAGGGAGGAAGGGAGGGAGAAGGGAGGTGGTAGGAGGGAGGTAGTCGCATATTTGGATGGAGGTGTCGTGAACAGGGTGAATGATAGAGGCATGAGAAGCTGCCAGACTACTAACACACACACACACACACACACACACACACACACACAAACACACAAAAGAGGCCCCCCAACACAGGCAAAAAAGTAAAAGTCCAGAAGAAACTTAATATGAATTGTATAATGGAGGTGGGTCACTCGTTCTACTTTCTGCCAGATACTTGTGGTAGTGGCGTGTAGGGGTTGGTGGTGGGTAGGGGTTGGTGGTGGGTAGGGGTAGGTGGTGGGTAAGGGGTACGCAGAGGAGTGTAGTGGGGAGGTGTTGGGTATTCGTGTGTCGTGTCGCCATACTAACTCCCTGTATTAAAGCTCAACCAGTTCTGTACGTGAGGATGAAGCAGTACACGGGGGGTCGAGGTCACAGTCATATAGAGGTCTGATTACGATAAAACGGGGTCAGGACAATCCACCTGACCCACATACGGTGTTATGCAAGGAGCTGTAGTGATGTTTGGTATCTTGTTACAGGTTATGGTTTACAGTGCCTCCTGTAGACCCCAGTTATAGTGTGAGGACATATTTCTGCTTCTTTTTTTTTCTTCACTTTTATTATAAAGTTGAAGAGTGGTGGTACTCCTCTCTCTCTCTCCGTGAAAAGAAAGTGATGGAAAGTTGATTGAAATCTGATGACAAGAAAGAACTATTGACGTGTTATTCTCGGTGTGTCTCGAGTGTTGTGGTGATGGTGATGTGGTGATGGTGTTGTGACCAGAAACTTCACGAGTGTTATAGTGACATCACCTGCAGGTTGTGTGTGTGTGTGTGTGTGCTGGCCGACCACCGCATTGAGGACACCACAATATTGCCACCAAGTGAGCGCCTCTCACACGTACAGACCTGAGGTACGTGTCTGGCACTACTGGTCCGTGTCCGCCTGGCACAGTTGGTGACACCAGACACACGGGTGCTGGCGACGGTGAGTGTCCAGGAGGCTGACACACGAGACATGTGCGTCTAGCCATGGATGCCACGCGGGAGTTTACGTGGGGCGGTGGTGGTGCTGGTAGTGTTGAGGGCGGCAGCTACCCGACGCGGACGGTGCTGGTAGTGGGCGGCGGTGGTGGGGGCGTGCGTGGGCGGCAGTCTCAGAGGGGCGTGTACAGGGCCCTCTCTGGCGTCACCTTCCAGGACCTGGATATTTACATGCGTCAAGCGTCGTCATGTAATGAACCTATCCTGGTGACGGAGGAGGACGAGGGGCTCGACTCCTTGGAAAGCCACGCCCACACTCTCACGCCCTCGCCTGACCCCGCCCATCGTGGTGTGGGTCAGGCGGGGCACACAGAGGGCGGCTACTTCAGCCTTGAACGTTGCCTGAGTGACGAGGACGCAGCTCATCTTCACGATTCTCTAGAGAACTTAAGACATCAACATCCACCTCCGCCCTCTGTCCACCACCCCCTCCCTTCGAACTACCCGCAACCGTACCCACACTACCCTCAGCACCACAAGGTTCCTGACCAGAGTTATGGACCAATGCCCACCTACGTCAACCCGGCCTTCCAGCACCAGCCAGCTTATGTCACCCCTCACCAGTGTCACGAGTACCAGGCTGGTGACGGCACCTATATACCCGTAGGGAGGAACTACCCCCCAAACATGGGCCATTTTCCCTCCGAGGGCGACTACGGCCCCAACATGGTGTATCCTCAGAGAGAAAATTATCCTACAGTGGAGGACTCCATGGGCAGGATTATCTACGATCGACAGGTAAGGGACGTTTATCCTGCACCTGCCTCGTACCCACCCAGGGAGAGCTACCCACATAAGACGAGCTACGTGTACCCCAACTACCCCCAGAGGGGCCCCTCACAGCCACCGCCCTCTCATGAGCCCTCAGATAAGGAGGAAGATCCTAGACGAAAGGCGAGCGTCCTGAGCGCCGACTCCCTGGAAGATCTTCCTTTAAGTCCCACGTCGCCCTTGTCGCCCCAGCCGCCGGTAGAAGGTCGTAAGAGCCATTGTTACAAAGATTCCCTCGAGGACGTCCGGCCGCGTCTTGTTAGTGAACTGCGGCAGTTCTTTGAGCGGCGGAAGTCGACAACAAGTAACAGTAGCCCTGAGTCTGAGTGTCTCCAGGAGAGTAGGACAGAGGAAGAAGAAGAAGAAGAGGAGGAGGATGAAGAAGAGGATCAAGATTTTGATAATCAAAGAAGAAAGTCAAGTTCTACGGAGGTTCAGGTGGACATGGCGTCTTCTATAATTACTGACAAGAACACCTCAGAAAACAGTGACAGTTCTGACGAGACAAGTTCTACCCAGGAGGACGCCCCGTCCTCCACCCACTCCTCCTCCTCTGAAGACCCGACAAAAGGTTTATACGAAGAAGATAGTGATGCGAGCGTCCCTGTTGTGAAGCCTCGCCTCGGGGACGTTGCCTTCCTGAGAGCAACTCAAGACACCCCACAGACACTTCTCGCGTCAACAAGACTCGTCCAGGCTACACTCAAGCCAGCTGTCAAGGCTACCACCTTCTTCATTAGTTTAGGAAGCAAGTTCAAGGTTCCTGAGTTTGAAAATTCGAACAAAGACGTGAAAGAAAACATCAATCCAGGAACAGAGAAAACTGATGTACAAGTTGAGAGGAAGAGTTGGTCGAGTGGGAGTAAAGACGGACAGAGTTCATCAGAGACGACCGAGGAAGAGTTTCTGTGCAACACTGACTCAAGTGATCCAGCTGACTACCAGGAGTCTCGGCTGATCCTCCGTCACTTTGTCTCCAACTGGGAGAGTGAGTCGCCGCCTCCTGACAACGACTCCGACATAGATGAGTTCTTCCTGGTACTCGACTCTACTGGCGGGAAGGGCAACTTCAGCTTCCCCTCAGGAAGCTCCTCCATAATATCTTCGTTGGGTAGTTCCTTGTCTGACCAGAAGTCTGACACTAACTACTCCAACGACCAGGACTCTTATGATGACGGTAACCTGGCGGACATCGGTGAGCCAGACACCACCTCCAGCTCGGGGCTCAGTCCAGTCCTCGAGTCCACTACTGACGAGAGTTCCCCTCAGACCCCGGACGGCCTGGAGCCTCCTGACGAGAAGGATGGCTTCCTCGACACCTCCCCCCACAATGTTATAGTGAAGCCTTTTTTAGGATTAGGTAAGGGCAGTGCTCGTGCGTCTCACGCGGGTTCTGTCCTGGGTAGCCAACAAAAACACGCCGCTGGTCAACATCGACTCCTCCCCATACACGAGGAGCCTCGTCTGTCCAGCCAAGAATTTGAGACCATCATTGACACCGTCTTGTGTGACAGTGATGACGAGTGTTGTCGTCAGCCTCCTGCCGGCACCACTAACACACCACTTAGCCAAGTACATACTAACCCGCCCTCAGTAGCTGACGTAGTGTGCTCGTCCTCTCCGTCCAGTGACACAGGAGCGTCCTGTGAGACTCTCCAGTGTACAGAGGATGACGTCACCACACCTGTAGGGTCGAGGGACACACTGTGCGCCTCTGATGAACCATACAGTAAGGCGTCCTCCGCCACAGCGTCACCCACCAGTGAACAGGATCACAGGGGACAGTCAGCGGGTCTGGTGACGTGCAGTCAGCCAGACAATTCACACTCACACATCAGTTACGCATATCCATGTTATATACGAGAAAATGAGGTCACCTGTGTCAGTCGTCCGTGCGGCCGCGGTGAAGCAAGCGGCACAGCTGCTGACCCTCGCCTGGCTGCCCTCACCACTGCCGCACTCGCCTCATACACTTTCGATTTCACTGCCGTGGACCAGCCTACCCCTGACCTTGAGGCCCTGGCCACCCTGATAGTTGAGCGGATTATGAGTGGCACCCTACCATCGACCAGTAGCAGCCAGAGTGGGTCAGGAGGTACTAGAGCTCACCACACCAGCGATACTCACTCTGCCACACTGGACTGTGATGACGTTATCGTGACTAGGTCAGTTGCCGCCAGTGCAGACTGTGGCTCGGTCCACCTCGCCCGCTCAGTGCCTCACACTTGTACAGCCGCGCCACACAACCATGTAAATAGTGGTGAAAGTGAAGGAACTGCCGCTTCATTTACCAGTAAGGTGTTACAGCAGTTTATTGCCGACGGGTCTAGCAGGAAGTCCGTCGGCGGTGAGGAGGTGTGTTGTGGTGCAGTGAGCGTTAGTGTGAGCACACCGCGTGTAGACAACAGTATGAGTGATCTTACGATAAGCAGCAACATGAATCAGTCAACTTACTGTGAGGAAGGACACAGTGTGTGTAGTGAAGTGTTGAGGCAGGACGACAGTGCCCTGGACACTGTTGATATAGTTAGTGAAGGACAGTGCCAGCAGGTGTCGCGCCAGTCCTCAACAACTTCTGATATTGGAGACGAGATCCTCACCGACGTGGAGTCCTCGTGCGGCTATGATAAACCTTACTCGGTAAAATGTGTCGGCAGTGAGGGTAGTTCTCTCATACCTCAGTATGAAGCTCCCAGACCTGTGTTTCCCAGGAAAAGCTCAGTTTGTGATTCTGTTGAGAGTCGTAAAACATCTTTGAGTTCAACCATTACAACACCTGACGAAGACGTTACCGAGATGTCCCTGTGTGACGTCTTGGACAGGAGACTTTCGACTTCCTCAGGTGTATCGTCACTATCAGAGAACAGTGGAAGGAAGTTCTCGTATTCCTCAGGTGTTTCAGCCGTGTCAGATGACTGGGAATGGTTCCCCGGGCGTAAGAGAAGTCTCAAAGGTCAGACAATTCTCTCCGACTTTAGACATGTGTTCTGTGACTCTGGTGGCGGAAGTGAATTACGCAGAATGTCTAGTGCCAGCGCCGCCTCAACCCAAAGTTCTGGCGTAGGATCAATGTCTGGCTCTATGTTTGACGCGAGTGCGGGTGAAGGACGCAAGTATTCGGTGAGTTCAGGTGTGTCTTGTCTCTCCAAGATCAAAGAGGAAACTAAGTCAGTCACAGACGTCGACCTCAACAGACTTGAATCCTTTGAAGAGAACCAACTTATGTCCGGACCTGAAGGCGATCAACTTGTGTCCGGACCTGAAGGCAAGGAAACCTGTCACAGTATAACACTTGATGGTAAACGCCTCAGTCTCCCGCCTCCAGTGTGGCCGCGGGGAAACCACCATGACGCGGCTCACTCCACTGCTGACAACACTCCCTCTCTCTCGGGATCAAAGAATTGGGACACAAAGTTGAGGAATGACACCCCGGAATTTATCTTAAAGAGAGCAGAGATACTGAAGAACACACAAGCTGCGTCACGGACAGACTTAAAGCTCGACCTACCGTTGATCTGTCCCTCCACTTGTCCCCTCAGAAGGAAGGATTACCTGGGGGAGGACGACTGTGCTCACCTTCACGGCCACGACAATAAAGACAGACGGAAATCATTAAATTTTGTACCCAAACTTATCACACCGAGACCTAAGACAAGTCGACCCAGAAGACTGACTTTACATACTTTTGAGAATATTGCTGAGCAGTGGAGGAGACAACAAGGTGTGAACGAAGACTTAAGTAATAAAACTGAATCTGTTTCTAACTTGAGGAGCATCGAGCCTCCACCTGAGGACATGAGTAAAGAAATGGAGTTCAGACTCAACCTGGTGCGAGATTTGGAGAAGCTTGAGGCGGAGATCGACGCTGAGGTTCAGGCCTTAGAGTCGGGGTCTGTACAGGCCAAGGATGACGAGGACTCAGCCTCCATCATCGTGGTGTTTGACAGTAGCGAGTCAGTAGCGTCGGCAGGCAGTGTCCCTCGCACTGGGTCAGGAAACTCTGGCAGGGAGGAGGACACCTCCATCGATTCAGACGCCGAGGCTGCAGACGCCCCCAGGGAGACCCTGAAGTCAAGTCTGCATCATTATGACTCCCTTCGTCCCGGAGTTGACGACGAACCAACGAGTGAAGATAAATGTCTCGAGAGAGGTGCTGGGGACGACCATAACAAGAGCAAATCAAAGGAAACATCAGTAGAGTCCGGTCCATTTACTCCACTGTCAGACTCAAAGTCCCTTCCAGATTTACTGGAAGCTGATGAAGCCGGGTTGCTGGACTCTGCTGCCCCGAGTGACGCCGGTGTTAAGCGCCGAGAGAACTTTAAGCCGGCCAAGAGTATGGAGACATTGGTCAATGTTGAAATTGTTCCTTGTAGCAACTACGAGTTTAGTGAGGTCACGTTCCCAGCCATGGTTGGCATCGATGAACTGGAGGAACAGGAGGTAGTGGAGAACTTCTCTGACGAAGATGTTGTGTCTGGCGGAGACTTCGAGGTGTTCTCAGAGACCGAGCACGACACAGACATGGATAACCTCAACCTGGAGCTGTTTGAGCCGAGTGTCGTTGGGGACAAAGTTGACGGTAAGATGTTGTCCAAGAGACAGAGGAAACTGAAGAAGTTAAGAAGGAAATTTAGCTTCAGTACGACTGAGAAACAGTCTAAGGACATCAAGGACACAATAACGTCTTCACTTAAACGGTTCAAGGACGCCAAGCACAAGATCGAAAAACTGGTGACCAAGACCCTGAAAAGTGATGCCCCGCCCCCTCACTCCTCCGTAGAGTCTCTCGAGGCACCTCCACTCCTCCAGACCTCAGGGCCCCTGGCCGGCCATGGTAACACCTCTGGTCATCGTGCCGGAGAACTTCTGGAGCCAAGTGATTCACATTCGTCCAAGACTTCAACCCTGGACTACACTGAGTCTCGGACCTCAGACCAGTCAGGGTCGGTGGGGGGCGTGTCCCGCAACACCTCCAAGTCCTCTGACGGAGCCTGGGACACCATGAGGCTCCTGGACGGTCACGAGTCCACTTACTCCTGGTCAGATGCCGATAGTGATTTTGAGTTTGTGGCGATGGAGCCGCCCAGGACCATGGTGGTGTATAAAGACCCGACCGAGACCAGTGACAAGGAGAGTGTTGGGGCGCCTCAGCCCAGCCCTCACCTGTCCAGCTCTTCCTCTACTGAAGGTAAGACATCATTATTATTATTATTATTATTATTATTATTATTATTATTATTATTATTATTATTATTATTATTATGTAAATGATGACTTACAGGGTGATCCAGAAGTTAGGAAACACTTTTGAGAAATAATTAATGTTATTATTTTTTGCAGGTTCACTAATTCAAATTTATTAATCAAACACTGTTAAACGTTAGGGCGAGTGAGGCCCCGTGAGGCTCAAACAAACACATCTTCACTAGTGAGTCTTATTATTACAGTCAGGCGAGACTCGCTTAATAATATCCCCCGTGAGGCTCACCAGTACCTACCTGTAGACAGCTGTAGGTCTTCAGCTCAATGTGACACTGAAACACTTGTTGTTATATCCAACTTGTGTACAGTACCAGGGTCACACTCGCCTGCCCCTCGGCTTAACATTATACACCATACGAGGAACACGTGATAAAGGGAAATTAATTTTTATCGAATAAATAATAAAAAAATAACATTCATAAATATATTTCTTCGTGTGTGTGTGTGTGTGTGTGTGTGTGTGTGTGTGTGTGTGTGTGTGTGTGTGTGTGTGTGTGTGTGAAGTCCAGTAGTGTCTCGTGTTAACCAGTGTTGTGTGTGACCCTCACTGCCTGGTGCACTGGTCCTCGTGTTACTGTGGCGCTCACACACACACACACACACACACACACATCAGGAGAAGGTGGTGCAGGAAACTGGAAGAAACTGGAAGTAATCACATGTGAGGGTCTGTTGATGACGACACACCTCTCCTCTCCCTCTCCTCCCCTTCCATCCCCACTCCTCATCACCCACCCCTCCCCATCTCTCTCCTTTATCACCCTCCCCTGTCTCATCACCCCCATCCCTCTCCCTCATTACCTCCCTATCCCTCTCTCTCTCTCACCTCCCCTTCCCTCTCCCCACCTCCTCCCTCTCCCCCACCTCTCCCTCCTCTCCCCACCTCCCTCCCTCTCTCCCACCTCCCTCATCACTTCTCCCCCCCCCACACCTCAACCTTGATACAAAATATACATACACCTACAGACGTCCAAGAAGATGTATACATGCAAGTGTAAATGTATACCGATTACACATAAATATATTCAGGATTTTATTACTTCAAATGTCTGTATATTTAGTAGTCATTTGAAAGATAAGAGTGAGGTTAGGTTAGGTTAGGTTAGGTTAGGTTAGTAGAGGTGAGGTGGAGTGAGGTGGTATCAGAAGTTGCCCTCACACACACACACACACACACATGCTCTCTCTACAACACCAAGTACAGAACGAATGAGTGTTTTTCAAGGTTGTGTGTGTGTGTGTGTGTGTGTGTGTGTGTGTGTGTGAAGGTTGTTATTTCGGGTAGATGTCAAGGTTTTAGAAACGAGAGGCGAAAGTAGCAAAGGTTCCCAACTAGCAGCCTCTCCTAGTAGCACTCCACTTACCTGCTGCTAGTTGTTTGGGGGTGAGGTGGTGCTATTTGGGGGAATAGGTAGTTAGTACATAACCATTAATTATGTTGTTTGTATCCCACACCTGTACTGTACATGTGTTGAGTCATTTTTCGCTACAGATGTCCGTGACCATGAACTATACACGTGGTTCCTCCCTACAGTACCACACTACCTACTCCTTCCTTACTCCCTATCCCACTCCCTAGTCCTCCCTAATTTAATTTCTTTCCATCTCTTACCCTCTTTCCCTACTCCTCACTCCTTTCCCCACTCCCTAAATCCCTATTCATCCTACACCCCTTTATCTAATTCAAGCTCACCATCATCGTCATCATCATCATCATCATCATCATCATCATCATCATCATCATCTAAGCTACCGACTGATAACACACATTTCAGGTAACTATCGTAATTTTTTTTCCCAGTGTCGTAAATTATTAAGGATGACTAGTGGGTGAAAGCAAGGTCGACAGGGGCTGTACTCTGCCCTGGGATTAGTAAACCATTGTCTTTAGGTTAGGTTAGGTTAGGTTAGGTTTAGGTTAGGTTAGGTTCCTCCGTCAGACTTGTGGGTTAAGTTCCTTCGTCAGGCTTGTGGGTTAGGTTCCTCCGTCAGGCTTGTGGGTTAAGTTCCTTCGTCAGGCTTGTGAGTTAGGTTCCTTCGTCAGGCTTGTGGGTTAAGTTCCTCCGTCAGGCTTGTGGGTTAGGCTCCTCCGTCAGGCTTGTGGGTTACGTTCCTCCTTCAGGCTTGTGGGTTAGGTTCCTCCGTCAGGCCTTTCTAGGGGTTACGTTCCTCCTGTCAGGCTTTGGTGGGGTTAGGTTCCTCCGTCAGGCTTGTGGGGTTACGTTCCTCCTTCAGGCTTGTAAGGTTAGGGTTCCTCGCCAGCGCAGGGGTTAGGGGCTCTCCTGTCAGGCTTGTGGGGTTAGGTTCTTCCGTCAGGCTTGTGGGTTACGTTCATCCGTCAGGCTTGTGGCGTTCCTTCGTCAGGCTTGTGGGTTAGGTTCCTTCGTCAGGCTTGTGGGTTAGGTTCCTCCGTCAGGCTTGTGGGTTAGGTTCCTTCGTCAGGCTTGTGGGTTAGGTTCCTCCGTCAGGTTTAGTTTGGAGAGACAAAAAACTTAACCTAACTTGAGGCTTTAAATTGTGACCGAGTAAGTTTTTGTTCTGTTGGGTGGTGGAGGTTGTTGCTTAATGGGGAGGAGGAGGAGGAGGCCTAGGAGGTGTTGGGGAGGTGGTGATAGTGGTAGAGGAGGAGGAGGAGGCCTAGGAGATGTTGGGGAGGTGGTGATAGTGGTAGAGGAGGAGGAGGAGGCCTAGGAGATGTTGGGGAGGTGGTGATAGTGGTAGAGGAGGAGGAGGAGGCCTAGGAGATGTTGGGGAGGTGGTGATAGTGGTAGAGGAGGAGGAGGAGGCCTAGGAGATGTTGGGGAGGTGGTGATAGTGGTAGTAGTGGTGGTGATGATGGGTGGTGATAGTGGTTGTATTGGTGGTGATAGTGGTGGTTGGAGTGGTGGTGGTGGTAGTGTGGTGGTAATGATGATAGTGGTTGTATTGGTGATAGTGGTGGTTGGAGTGGTTATGGTGGTGGTAGTGTGGTGGTAATGATGATAGTGGTTGTATTGGTGATAGTGGTGGGGATATTGGTGGTAACAGGTGTTCAATTATAATCATTAACCCACAGGTACACGTCCTGAACCATACCCCTTACACACACACACACACAGACACACCACCTACTCCAGACTCACCTGTAAGTAATGTTTTGTTTGCTCGTGATTGGCTAAGGTCCCACCAGGTAACCAAGCGTGGATGAACTCCTCTGATCCTTCTACACCTCCCCCCCCTCCCTCATTAACAGGAAGGTAGGTAGGTAGTCAGGTAGGTAGGTAGGAAGGAAGGGAAGGTAGGTAGGAAGAAGGGAAGGTAGGTAGTCAGGTAGTGATATTTTTAACCTATAATTGGACAGGAGCGGTCAAGGTCACCGTAATTAACCTGAGCTATACTGATTACTAGCTCACCTGTCTGTCTCGTCTTGTTTACACACCTCTGTCTACCTGCAAGAGCACACCTGGACTAACTCAGGCACAGGTAGACGTGTGTGTGTTTATGGGATGTAGTTTCAGTCATATTAACGATTTCGACACACACACACACACACACACACACACACACACACACGTTATTAAGATATAAATATTTTAGTGGTGTCTCCAGGTATGCTAACTAGGTCTAGGACAGAGCCAGGTATAGACTCTCTCTCTGTCCCTTCCTTTCCTTCCTCCCATCTTCTCCCCCTTCCTGTCCTCACACTTCTTCCTCTTCCTTCCTTCCTTCCTTCCTCTTCTCCCACCCATCATCATTCTCTCCTGGCAACACACCACAGCGCCTCACCCAACCACACACAACAAGGTGATGTAACTACCGCTACCCTTCTGCCTGTAGGATACTCTGCAGGAGAGGACCACAAACTCTCTCTCCCCTCCTCTCTCTCGAGTCCCTGATGCCTCAGGACTTGCTCTCCCCAACACCACGTCCACCATAACACCTCATACATATCACTCACTCACTACCCACTCACTCCACTCCACTCCACCACTCACTCACTACCCACTCCACTCCACCTCCACCCACCCACCCCACCCGTTCCGATGTGATAAAAAGTTCCCCCTATAGCACCAGTAAGAGTAGTAGTGGTGATAGTGGTGATAGTGGTGATGGTGATAGTGGTGATGGTAATAGTGGTGATAGTGGTGATAGTGGTGATGGTGATAGTGGTGATGGTGGTGTGTGTGTTGAGGGTGACAGGCATGTTTATTTCACCTTGCACCATCACCTGGTTTAAGGGAAGGATCGATGAAGTTTGTGTGTGTGTGTGTCGAGGTGGTGCGTGATGGCTGACAATTCCTGCTTCTGTCTGTCTCTGTCTGTCTGTCTGTCTCCCTCAAACCTCCTCCTGTAGCGTATATTTCCGTCGAAGATCACTGATTCTCTACACACACATACACACACACAGTCCTCACTCTATACTGAAAATTAAGCATCAAACAACCATGTAATTAAGACAAGGTTTTATCACAAAGATCTTTTCCATGATGAGATGTGTCGGGCGGCGGGGTTAACCACTGACCTTCCCAAACACACACACACACACACAAGTCCATCTGTCTGTCTGTCTATCTGTCTGTCTGTGGGTCTAGAAGGTGTTCATGTCTACAATAGCCTTATATGGACCAACTCTCACCTCCTGTTTACAATTTCTCTTCCTATGTTAATCAGTAATGCAAACAATACTAAGGGAATAACCCAGGCAGATGGAGACTCAACATAGCTACCATCATGTGGACTCTACGGCAGGAGGCGCTGAAGGGGGGAATGGTTGTACAGAGGTGAAGTTACAGGTGTGGGGGTAATTTTTTCTTTTCTTAAGTGTGGCGCGGCGGGTCGTGTTAGGTACCGCGGTAGTGTAATGTGAATGTCAAACACACACACTCTCTCTCTCTCTCTCTCTCTCTCTCTCTCTCTCTCTCTCTCTCTCTCTCTCTCCTTAGCCAG